CAGTGAACTAAATATTGTACCACTTTAATTTGAATTATCTTAGTTTGGGGGGGGGGCAGGAGGCTGGGAGGCACACTAAGAGCCGTTTCACATGCGACTGATAAAGTCCTGACGATCAGTCCTGATGATAAGGACTGACGGTCATGGCCATTGTTTCACAAGCAACGTATAGTACGGAAATGTCTACTACGAGCATATACTTACCACACATATACCGCTTATTGCCTATATTTTGAATAGATGACCTTGTTCCCGTTTTTAAGGGGAGGGTGGCTACTCTCTACCTTTTGCGCACGGTCAGTTCAAAAGTGGGAGATTAAAAAATCAATAATGTTTGTTGGTTATGAATAAATACAAATGTCAGTTTAGGAATTTAGGTTATTTTGAAAGAATATTAAAAAACTAGTTTAAACATCCGAAAAGTGGCATAAAATCATTACTTTGTCAGAAAAATCACAAAATAGAGAGGATAATAATATTACTTTAATTGTGTTTATTTATTCTTTAGGCATACAAAAATTGGGATATTTGTAAGAGTTTTTAAACCTACCCATCTAAGGCATAGATAAAAGGATCTAGGATTTGAGGGCGATATATAGGATTGGTTACATTAGTGATGTTGTAGTGTTTTAAAAAAGTAAAGTTATAAGTTTCTCGCTTGGGTAATAAAATGCGACGTAGCCAAATTTCTAATGCTAAACAACATTTTTATAAAATTAAAAAAATAATATTTATTTTTATTATTAATACTTAAATACATCATTAATATAATTTTTTATAAATTTTGCGATATAACATAATTTATAAGCTTTATAATAACGAAAATTATATTAGAATATAATTACATCTGACAACACGGCCCCACGCATGTGCAAAACTGCTTTGGTAGCTAGCTCCTACTTTAACCCCACGAAAAGGAAACAGCCTGAATCCAAAATGATCTGTATATGTGTGGTAAGTATATGACTACGAGACGGTTCTCAGCGCCTCCAGAACTGCGCTGTTGCCGCTTTTTGTATAAAGAGAATAATACAACGCAAAATTTTAAAAGTTCTTTTTTGCTTCCGCTACTTCTTCAAATGCTTTGTTCTTTGCATCCATTTTTTATAGTTCTCATCATCTGCATCTTCGCTGTTTGATGCTACTTATTACAATTTCAGTATCAATGCGTAAACTACTTATTGTGCAACACTGTTTCTGCTGACCGTACGTACCATATGAAATACTCCATATAACTAACAGCCCTTAATAGTCCTGACGGTACGCAGTGCGCACGGGCTGTCCCGATGCCCGTGCCGACGAATCAGTCAACCGATGATACGCAGTGCATGTGAAAAAGTTCATTTAAACAATGGCCCCTAGTCATCAGGACTGACCATCAGGACTGATCGTCAGGACTTTATCAGTCGCATGTGAAACGGCTCTTAAAAACAAACTTTTTTTCGCAAACTTCAATATAAATTCTGCTTCCGGGTCATTCCATGTGACGGGTGGGACACTTGTACTAATTTGTATATGTTTATTCAATTTATATTTTATTATTGCAAGCTTTTTTATCCATGGAACCCTGATATTTTTAAAAACCCATACAACAGCAAAATAAACAAGACAAGTTTCTTGTCAAACTATTTAGTTTAATAGACTTTTTTAGTTTTATAAAGTAATTTTTTATTGTGACGGGTGGGACCAGCAAAAAACGATATTTTTATGACTTATTGTTTGAAAGCAAATTTCTGCTAAATTATACAAAACTATAATATGTTTAAATTTTTTTTCGTTAAGTAAGTCTATGTACTATATAAGGCGTTTAAATTTTTTTTTAAAAACATGTTGATAAAGTCAATAAAAAATTTAATGCGATATTAAAAATGTTACGGGTGGGACATTATTATGTGACGGGTGGGACAAGTTGAAAATAATAAGGTTAGAAAATATATTCCTACTTTATTTCATTTAAATTTATAAGAAAAAACATTATTTAACCCTATAAGATGCATTGAAGATTTTGTTTTAAATATGCTGTTACACTATGTAAAAGATTTTCATTTTCAGCTCTAAAAAAATGTTGTACTCGTAAATGAAGATTAGGTATGGGTTTTATATTCCTCCATTTGCCTGCTAAATTTGCGCCAGCCTCTTTTATTTTGATAGTAGGTATCGATAGATCTATGTAAAAAACAATTATAGATCTATGTAAAAAACAATTATAAATTTTTAAGATCCCTTGCGGCCTTGAGTTTACGGTTTATTCACCGTGAATTCACCGTGAATTCGTCTGTTTGTGACATTTGTAAACGGTAGTTAGACGGTGAATTCACGCACTTTTCACAGACGGTTTATTCACGGTGAATTCACAGTGAATTCACGGTGAATTCACCGTGAATAAACCGTGAACTCAAGGCCAATGGAACCACTACGGACTTGGCTTTTCAATGTCGTCGTTTATTAAATATGTACTGGTAGTTTATAACTTCCAGAATAACAATATAATGTTTAAGTAGGCAGGTAAATTTATAAACCCTTTAAATTTTACTGTTGAACTTGTGAATTTAGTTTTTGTAAAATAAATGCGCTTCATCAATATTTAAGTATAAACAAACTATTTATTTAATAATGTTTATAAATAAAAAAATCTTAATATTTATTATTAATTTTTTATTTAATTCTTAATACCGTCTATTAGCAACAAAATTACTATTTATTAAAAAGTAAACAACCATTTACAAACAATTAAAATAATTTATTATTTACATTACCACGTGGTACTGTACAGTAATTTACGATGTTTTCACAGTAAACTCACAGCGCTTTTACGGTGAATTCACGGTGATTTCACGATAAATTTACGGTACTTTGACAGTGAATTTGCGGTGATTTTGCAAACTTGAATTTACCGTGAGATCACCGCGAATTAACCGTGAAATCACCGTGAATTTATCGCAAAAACAGCGTGAGTTCACCGTTTAATTACCGTCTACAAATGTCACAAATGGACGGTATATTCACTTCACATAAACGGTGTATTCAAGGTGAATTCACGCAAACGGTGAATTCACGGTGAATTCACCGTAAACTCAAGGCCGCAAGGGATTTCTAAATACTCAAAACATTCTTTTGGAGTATTAATTGTCCTTTTCTAGATTTAATTTCTGACCATTTTTTTTAGCTGATGCTCCAACCCCACCCATTGCGCGTTTTTCATGACTGGTAACAGAATATGCCCAATCAACACTTAAACCCCAATCATGAGGCGCGTTACATATATTAGAGATATATCGATTTTTAAATTGCCCAGCACAACCATCGGTAAAAAATGTTATATGTTCTAAAGTGGAGCATTTAATTTTTAAATGAGAAACTATTTTCTTTGTAAAAGTCCAGACTGAAGACTTATCATAATTTAAATTAGTACTTAAAATGGCATACGAAATCTTTTCTTTGGCGTTATTTAGCCACACACAGGCAGCGTTTAAAGTTTCTGTATTTTTCAATAAGTTTTTTCTTTTAGCCCTTCTTTTATATCCCTAGTTTTTTAATTTCTTATAAATTTTAAATATTTCATAGGGTCTGTTTTAATTTTATCTGTACTTTTTCGTGCAGCTACAGCTGAATCCATATCTAAATAAAAGATAGATTTAGCATTTCGAAGGGTGACAAGAAAAAACCTTATTTATTATAACCTATAGGTTTTGTAGTCCATGTTTAACAATGTTTAATTATTAAATTTTTTGAATTTAAATAAAATGTATTTTTATATAAGATTTGTATTTCTTTATATATATATATATATATATATATATATATATATATAATATATAATATATATATACATAATATGTATTACATATATATACATCTTATTTAAATTCAAAAAATTCAAAAAACCTTATATCTTGGTATTTTATTTAATTAATTATTTAAAGAAAGTATAAAAACGCCATTTTTTAAATATTATAGTATAAATATATATTAAATTTATATGCAGAAAAACTGGATTTTACCTACTGCACATGCATTAACAATAACTGATAACTGATTTTTAAATAGATTAACTTAAAAAGTTACAAAACACGCCATAGTGTGACGGGTGGGACAAATTATAATAATTAATAAAAAATTTAAATTTTAATTAATAGACTTGAAATTACCCCCAAATATTTGATATTATTGACTTCATTTGCTATTAAAATCTGCTTTCAAAAAAATTATTATTTCTATTAAAATCAAAACTATTTTGTTTTTTTTGTGACGGGTGGGACAAATAGGCATGTCAATTAAAACAATTAATTTAACAAATAATAACTTACCTTCTTTTGATAAACGTTAAACAATCTTAACAATAAACACTTATTTGAATAAATTTTAAGTTAGACAGTTCTTAAAAAGAGCCAGATCATTAATACAAAGCCAAATTATTTACTTATATTTTACATCAAAAATAAATAAACGAATTAAATAAGTTCAAGCTAATAAATAAATACTTTATTTTAATTTTAATATTTAGTTTGTATTGTTTTTGTTTATTTTAAGCCTTTAAAATTTAATATTTATATATTAAATATTAAATGTTTAATTTTTACAAAAAAGTTCAAATTTTCGTGGAATGTCCCTTCCGCAGAACTTGTCTATATAATGTCATTGTAAACTGTTATAATATCTGGCTTAAGGCTAAATCCAGGGCTGCCTATTGCATTCGCCACAGGTCAGGATTTACCATATTTTGCTTTTTTTAATTATTTTAACATAATTCCACTTGTTTTATTACAAGTCGGAAACAGTCAAAAAATTGTCCACAAAGAATACGATCTTTAAGAGGCCTAAATAAAAACGCTAGAATAACCCTTTGAGGGTTTTCTTAGTCTGTTGGCCAACTTTTATTTCGCGTTGGAATTTTTTGTTGTAATTAAAGAGCAGTCTTTTGGATGCTTTAGGCCCATTTTCATAGAGCGCGTCAAATATATTTAGTACCTAAGTATACTTATAAAAGAAAATATTTTTAGAACTGGCGAAACAGTAAAGGAAGGCAAATCTTTCGTTTTTTGGGGATTAGATGACGAATACAGAGCAGTTTCAGTGGTCGGACTAGGTAAGAAAAATCCACCACAAAATGAGCTGGAAATAATATCGGAAGAAAAGGAAAACATAAGAAAGGCTGCAGCAGGTAATGCAATATTATTTTAACTTTTTAGTAAAGTTTAATCATTATTCTTTTTTTAGCTGGTTGTAATGCATTGAATTCAAACGACATTAAACACATCGATGTTGAAAGCTTCGCAGATGCAGAATCGTCCGCAGAAGGTGCCATACTAAGCTCATGGAAATTTCAAGAATTTAAAACAAAAAAAGACCAACTACCTCAAATACAGTTATATCAACCTACAGATGAAAACTCCGCGAATTTTACCAGGGGAACAATCAAAGCCGACTCGCAAAATTTTGCGAGAATGTTGGCTGACACGCCTGCCAATTTACTGACTCCGACAATATTTGCCAGTAAAATACAAGAAGTTTTAACTCCGTTGGGAGTCGATGTGAAAGTATACGACCAACAATGGGCTGAGGAGCAAAAAATGGGATCGTTCTTAAGCGTAGCCAGAGGTTCGGTGGAACCCCCGAAGTTCCTGGAACTAACATATAAAAATTCCGACGATAACCCTTTTGTAATGGTCGGGAAAGGCGTAACCTTTGATGCCGGCGGTATCAGTCTGAAACCAGCTGCAAATATGGATCACATGCGCGCCGACATGGGAGGTGCAGCTAGCGTTGCAGGGGCAATACATGGATTGGCCAAACTTCGCGCACCCGTCCACTTAAAAGTTCTTATACCTTTAGTAGAAAATATGCCATCTGGAAGCGCTACAAAACCAGGAGATGTAGTAGTGGCAAGAAACGGAAAAACAATATGCGTAGACAACACCGATGCAGAAGGTCGTCTTATTTTAGCCGATGCCTTATGTTACAGCGCAGACCTGAAACCCAAGTGGGTGATAGATGTTGCCACATTAACTGGAGCTATGGTTGTAGCTCTAGGCAACGGCGCAACTGGGGTGTTTAGTAATTCCAACGCCTTGTACGATGTTTTGGAGAGTGCCGGAGCCGAAACTGGCGACAGAGTTTGGAGGTTTCCGCTTTGGAAACATTACAGCAAACAAATATCGGATAATGCTGCCTACGATCTTAATAATATTGGAAAAGGCAAAGGCGGCGGAAGTTGTACAGCTGCGGCATTTTTGAGAGAGTTTGTTACGGAAAATACCGATTGGATGCATTTGGATATAGCTAGTGTAATGGGCCCTGACCACTCAGTTCCTTATCTAAGTAAAGGTATGACTGGCAGACCAACAAGGACTTTGATTGAATTTGTGGAATCACAAGTCCGGTGCTGATTTTAATATAGGTTTTAAGCTTAAAAATTATTGTTAAAATTTGTATAAAGGAAGTTTGTTGTTATTTGTGCTTTTATTTTTTTTTTATAGAGGACATACTAAAAAACTTACTTTGTACTAAATGTTTTATTATTTCATATCACAATTTTGAAATTCGGTAACGTTTACGTGTAAACAATTATTTGCACAATATGTTGTGGATATATACAGATAACACAAAACACAAATAGGGTTCAATTCTAAAACCCTATTTGGAAACGTTTTGTATAATTAACGGTAAAATACAGAAAATGTAAAACCAAAAATTTTGATTTACGAAAAAATAACAATTTTGTTATAAACAAAAATCGATGGCCTATTGCTAATAGAACATATCTACGTTTTTCCGCACGTCAATTTCGTTCGTAGAAATTCTTTTGAAACTTCACTGTAACGTTTATTATTTATTATTACGATAAAGTTAGAAACGACTAACGAATTGATGTGCGGGAAAACGCATCAATATGTTGATAATAATAAAATAACAAACAGAAAAGTATAATAAAACATAAGGATAAAATTAACCCTATTATGTTAGGGTTGTTGCTTTTTAATAAATTACTTAATTTAGTCCTAAATTTCCTAATATAATTCTTAGTTACTAAGTTAATTTAGAAACGGTGCTAGTGATACAAATTAAAAAATATATAAAAACCTAATATAAGTGTATAAGTACCCGTGTTTGAAGACAGATGGCATTACCATAGTGTAAGTACTACAATCTTTCAAACGACGCCCTAAAAAAATTCAGATTGATTTATTGGTTAGTTTGGACTTTAATAACATTGGTACATGTTTGGTACAATAAAAAAAGAACGACATCGATTCGTTCGCTTTTTATTTTTGAATTGGAAAACGAGTGAGGAATAAAAGCTAAATTGGTGCTGTCTATGGGGACCCTTAACCATCTTTGAAAACCCTTAGATATTCTGCGGTGCTAAGCACAATGGTCCTATCTACAATATTAACAATGATGTTTTGTATATTATAGTAGTAGTACACAGCAGTATTGGTTCAATGAATTTAAACATGGCCGTACCGTTGATTTGTATGCAATTTGTTGTTTTTTTTTTAATAAATAATTTAGCCTCGGGCCGTACATCTGTTTTTGATGAAGCGCCCGGCAGAATTGATTACTGAGGAAAACATTAAAAAGGTCCATGACATGATACTTGCGAACCAAAGTGCACGAAGTCGAATCTGCTCCGAAAAGGGGAATACCATGGTACCACCAAACACATTAAATTTTAATACATATTGCTGAGAAGTCACAACCAATCAATCTGAAATTTTGTATGGCGTCGTTTGAAAGATGGTAAGTACACGTTAAGTTTCATATACTTACTGGTAATTATATGTTAACTTTCCTTGGCAACGCCATCTGTCTTCCAACACTTATTAGTCGTTTTTTCGCGTAAATACTATGTAATACTACGGTTAAATAAGTCATGACGTCACAGTTAATTCATATAACCATGGTTAGGTTTCTAACATTTGACATTTGTTTACTTGTTCATAACCTATAATTTTTGAAATGTGTTTTTAAATATTTATATTTAATTTCTATGCTTTTACCGGTGTAAATAAATTTCTTTGCCTCTTTTTATACCTAGTATATTCTTTTTCTATAGGTACTAGTTTTTTTAATACACGTTATCCAATTCTCCTACATGTTTAATACAAAAGAAGGAAGAATATAAAAAAACCTGCATATAATTCCTCCACTTGTGGAGATTCACAATATGGAGCACCCTATCATTTATTCATTTTACTGACAACACCCCGTTTACCATTTTAATACAAAGTTTAAATTCGGTTTAAGAGCAATTGTACCTACTTAAAATATTTTAAATTTCAAATGTAAACAACTTCTTGGCAGATCGAAACAGAGAAAAATATATATTAAAAAGAGAAAGACTATTAACCACGTTGAATAACTAGCTCAGCGATATAGTTTTATGGTCTGGTATTTGTGACGTCATAGTTAGGATTTTTGAACGCACTCTAAACGCAAAAATGCCTTAACTATTAACCACGGTTAAGTTTAATAACCATAGTATTTCATGGTATTTACGCGAAAAAACGACTATTGATGATATCAAAACCAAGTTTGATAAATTTTTTAAATGTCCATAATCGCGATTTGCAAGTATATTAAATATGGTAACGTTGTTAAATGCTAATATTGCAGTCTGAAATATTTTTAATAGGTTAAATATTTTTGAACTGATTTGCAGTATTTAACATTTAAAATAGGTAGTGTCTCCCCGACCGTCGGACGGACGTAGAAAAGTGTGTGCTCGACCGTCGGACGGGCGTAGAAATGTGTGTGCTCAACCGTCGCATATTTTAACCTCATTTTCAACTAGAGGCTAAATGTCACAATCCAGCCTGCCCTTAGATATATTATACCTCTATTGCTCAATGGGGCGGGAGGGGCCCAATGGGGCGTGGTCGGTTGGGTTGGGTTGTTAAGTTTGGGTTGGTTTGGTATGGCACAATGCAGTGTACCTGCATAACCAAGATGACAGCTATTCGTCATAACCTTGAGGAATACTTTGCTACAATGTCATTTAGCCTCTAGTCATTTTCACACGTTTTTACGTCCGTCCGACGGTCGAGCACACACATTTCTACGTCCGTCCGACGGTCGGGGAGACACTACCTTTAAAATATGTAACCAGCTTATTGCATGTGAAATTTAACCTAAAATTTTGGCCTAGCCATTAATTTATGAAAACAATTTTGGAATGTAAATATTTTTAATTTGCATCCGTATAGGGGGTATAACTCTTGGTTATTATAAAATAAATTTATAATCCTAAATGCCCGCAATAAAATTATTCTTAGATTTTAAATAAAATACCTTACCATTGGTCCCTGCTAAAGTACTTTTGAAAAGTATGACTATAGTATGAATCAAATCTATCGCGGCAACTAAGTCTTTTTTGTCAAAACAGACCACATTCTTGGAAACTAAAAAGGTTTCCTTTAACTGGGAGGTGTTTTTAAACCTATAGAATGTGGCATAAGCTTAAAAAAAAGAAATGGACGCGTAATCAGAACGTTAAAAAGTTGAAGAAAAAAAACTGAACCAAACTCAACAGTTTCATGCATAATTTAATTATAAATGAAAGAACGCATATTTGTTTATTTAGAAACTGGTTAACAGATACAGATTAAAATAAATAAATTGAAATTAATAACATAGATTTTTCCTGCGAAAGGTTATGTTACTCATATACCTATAACCTATAGTTATAGGTATATGATGTTACTTGTTAAAGGTTATTTTACCTGTGAAAAACCTTTCCAGGCTCTTTATTCTCGTCATTATAACATATAACTTCTTCTTCTTCTCTAGATTTAATGGCCTTAGCGTACTTCAAAACTTTTTGTCCAGCACATTATATTTTTTTAAATTTTCTTTACTGATCAAGGGCATCATTTAACACGTTAAACGCCACGGCGTTATTGGTGATTTGTTTTATTGGGCCAAGTTGTTATTTTACTTGTATCCTTTTAAAAAATAAAATCGTCAAAATACAGATTAAATAATAAATAATTAAAAAACTCTTGTATCTTCGTCAGCCATCAGCGGTCCTATGCATGCTTTAAAATACCTTATACGAGCGGTCCGCTGGCCAGAAAATCATGTTAAATAAAAATTGACAGTCGATCCACAGGGACCGCCGTGGCCTGGATGGAAAAAGTATTAGCGGTCCCCTGGGACCGACTTGGCAGTTAACGTGTTAAGAAAGTCTGAGATTAACTCATCCCTTGAATCATTTATCCACTGATTAATTAAATTTGTATAACACCATGTTCAATTTTGTTTAACCATGCACCACATTTGTTTAAATATTTTAATATTAATTTATCCGTTTCTTTTTTCGAATATTTTCATATATTTATATATTTCTGATTAAAGCCAGTGTATTTCTACCCTGGAATCCGATCTCGTCCCTCCTGGGTCGCAAAGTCACTTATATTTCACTTACTTTTTCATAGAGCAATAACGCACTCCACCAGGGACGAAACCGAACTCTGCATGTAACTTCTACAACCCAACGCAGAACAAACCACCATTATATTTTAACAAAAACACAACAAAGAAACATGTCGCTTTAAGATTATGACTATGACATTTTGGTTCAGTTTTTTAACACCACTTTAAACACAACAGTAGGGGTTACGCGTTTACTCCTTTATTATGTTCATATATGGATATAAACTTATTTAAGGCGACATATTTGTTTTGGACTATAATTTGTAAGCTATATGTACTATGAAAAGATTTTAAGTATTTGCATTGTACATTTTAACAGATTTTATTTAATCTTAATGCCCTTTAATTAGGAATTGTACAAACGTAATTTAAATATTGCAATGTTTTCGTTAGTTTGGTTTGTATTAGCCAAAAATAGTAAACACATCTATAAATACAAATTTATTTTGATTTTTTATTCTATAAAAGGATATATTTAAGTTATTGCCTTTATATTTTAAATACAAAACTTCATAAACAAAAATACGCTTTTAAAGCTTTAAAAAAGATAGAAATCGGGTTAAATCACAATTTTATTTATCTTGTTTTAATCCTGACACTATTGTGTTAATACCTAAGTATTATGTAAAAATGGGATCAAATGTTTTACTTTTTACACATAAACATTTTTTGTTGGATATTTAAGTGTATAAACATAATTTTAAATTATTCCTTTAAAGAAATAATGTAAAATTAGCTCAATATTTTACGATGTAGCGTCAAAAATATTATTTTTGGGATTGTGAAACTAAACCAAAAGTTTATCTGCAAAAGGCATATTAAAACTGGTAGTGTAACCCATTAAGTGAAGAGTAAGTAAATAAAATAGGATTAATACTAACTAGGCAGACATTTATAACCGAGTAGAATGCGTATGATGTCCCCTTCGACGGATTGCAATGCCGCCAGCTGGGACTGTGCGTCCCAGCTATGGGAGGGGGATTAAGGAGACGAATAGTCAGGCAAAGTCCCACGACCACGTCCTCTGCCACGTCCCCTGCCGCGTCCACGCCCCCTCCCGCGCCCGCGTCATCTGCGACCATCCTGCATTCCTGCAACAATAAAAGAAAAACATTTAAATCACCTACAGGGTATAAAATAATTTTTTTTCTCAATTTTATTCATATTATCCCTATGATTATATAGAGATTCAAAATTTCCGGAAAAATTGAGTGTCGGAAAAAAACCCTGTTTTTTTCCTGGAAAAATTGGAAAAAAACGGAAATTTTGGGAAAAATTGATATTTTCTTAAAAACAAAAAAAAATGTTTAAAAATATTTTAAATATTTTTTATAATATTTATAAATTATTTTGATTAAAAAATTCCCGTTATGTATAGGCGCCCCCCGGGGAGGCACCTGTAGGGTCATGCTTTTTAACGATGAAAAAACCCTAGTTGCCGACGGCCGTAATTCACATTAAAATCATTGTTGTATAGGTAACTATTCAAAATACACTAACCCAGGCGTTAGTAGCATATTCAATGATTTTAACATCACAATGGCAACCCTGCCCGATCAGCTGATTAGGAACCGACACGTCGGACCGATCGTCGTTCGTTTACAGCGTTACGGTAAGCATAAAAACATTTATCTTGTATTAAATATACTTTTTTTATTGTACCCACAATACACAATGGTATGCTTTTTGCTCAAAGCACAGACTTCTGTACTACTGCAAAAATATATTTATTTAATTTCCACTCATTAATACATAAATTATATCAAATCAAAATACTTTTTAGATGTTCGTTTTTTTTTAAATATTTTTTCAATTTTTCCGTTTTTCAATTTTTCCAAGGCTCGGGAAAAAAACACTGTTTTTTCCCAATTTTTCCTGTTTTTTTCCGAACCTTTAAATCTCTATGATTATATGATATGATTATCTCCGCATATGCCTTCGAAGGAAGCATCTATCATTGACAAACTGTAATTCATATTAAGTTGTTAATGTCTATTTTTTAGTAATTTATAGAATCTGTATCTGATAACCATAATATCGCGCGCAATGCAATTTTTTCTCGTATTTTACATGTCCCAAATAATAATCTTGAAAAAATATTGCTTTGGCCTTTCTGATCTACCGGGCTACACAAAATTAACTAAATCCTATTTTTGCTTTTTTAAAAAAGGTCATTTGGTTCTATAAATATCTTAAAACGTGTTTCTCGGAGGTAAATTATGTTAAACATGTATGTATGTGGGTATACCCTAAATGGCCAAGGCCAAGGAAATATTTAAAAAAATATTAATACATTTTTTTAATATCGCCTTTGTATATATTCCTAAATATTTAAATTTTTTCTTACTATTTCTTTTAAAAAAAGTATCTAAAACCGTGTAAAAATATATGTTTGAAATTACCAAATTCAGTGTAGGCGGCGGTTTGGTGTAGCTTATAATAGCTTAACAGGGTTGGTAAAACCCACTTCTCAGCAAACACAGTAAAGTGCCGTTACGGGTATAGCAACATAATGTCGCCTGGCTCAATGCCGGCTCCGTAATAATATTTATTTTATTATCTTAATTTTAATTTCTTAAACTTAATATCTTTGTATACATTTTATATTTTTGTATTTTGTACAAAAATTAAACATATTCTTAAGGTAATATGTGAATAAAAACAACACTGTTTTAAAGTTCAATATCATATGACGCATTTCAAATCAAATCAAATCGTTTATTTTCATCCCAAAAGATACGTATCTGTACATTCCACAAAGGGATATTATCTTACCTATATAGGTATATTATAATACAAGAATAAATTAATATAATAATATAATATTCATATAATCACTTACAAAATAAAAAATATAAAATCTATACTATTCATAAATATTTTATCACATTTGCAGCTCGTCACTTATTTTTAAGTTAAGGTTTAGAATAAAGATTATAAAATAACAAAACAGGACAGTAAATTAAATATACCCTAAATGCATTTTTAGTCAAGTGTTAAAACCCTCTCGCCGACGGTGTTTTATTTCGTCCGGTAGAAGGTTGTAACTCTTTACGCCCTTATAGAGAACCGATTCCATGCCATTCCGGGATCTCCCTTGTGGAAATTTTTCTCTGAAAAAGTTTTAATAAGTAAAAAAAGAGTTTTTAAAGTCTTACTTTCTCTTAAAATGTCAGACTAATAGCAAGATTAGTATTCTAGAAGAGTTAATAAGACTTTTTAAGACTATGCCGAAAACAAAGACGAAACTTTAAGCAACCCCAACACATTAATTCGTATACATAATTTGGAATTAATTTCACACTACACGAAAAAAATGACTTCCCTAGGACACGAAAAATAAACTACAAAATGATACAGAAACTTCCTCACAACGTTAAAAAAGAACCTATTAAAATATATAATATATGGTGGCACTCCGGAAACATACCAAAAAGAAATAAATGTGATAGCTATTAAAAAACACGACAAACCCATAGACGACATATCCTTATACCGACCTATATGCCTCATGCCCTGCATAATAAAAACACTCAACACAATGATTAAAAATAGGCTAGAGTATTTTATTGAAAAAACAAAAATATTACCAATAACCACATATGGCTTCAGAAAGGGAAGAAATACCTCCGACGCAATATATTGTATATATACGAACTCAACAATAACATCCGAATAAGCCTATCCAAAAAACATATAATGACAGCAACATTCCTGGACATAACACAAGCTTTTGACAATGAGTCATTCCAAATAAAAACACCAAATGGGGTGCGCTGCGTGATTTTTTATTTTGATGAAAAAATTTGAGGATGATCTTTTAGGTGTCAAATATGAAAATCCGTTGCCGTTTTAATTTTTTGTTGCTTTACTTTTATTTGGCACCCCTTAGAAGTCTGAAATAGTGTCAATTTCTTACTCTCTTATAGTGGGCCAGAACTTTTTTTCTGTGACAAATATTGAAATAATTTTAATTTTGTTTTACTGTCCAGTAAGTGTGTTTTCGATATAAATTATTATTATCCAATTAGTTGATCTCATAAAAGAATGGTAAACCACTAAAGATTCATGATAATTTGCCAATTTTTGTGATTTTTGTCTGGCTCCTGTGCCTATTTTACTGAATTTAGAAGGTTCATTTTTTTCAGGTATAAAGTACAATAGAAAACGTAACTATTATTTTAAGTTTCTAGACTATCAATTTCTTTATTAAAAAAATTATTGAAAATTGATAATTCTCAAAATTAGCCAATTTTGCCCTCAGAAATCATTATGTTGAGGAAAAAATAAAAATCTGAAACTTTCAGGAAATGTAGTCTCCACCTTCATCTTTTCAGTCCAGTTAGTCTTGTTTTGTTATTTTTATTCCTTTAAAAGATATATTAATTTTTTTAATGCCCGTTTAGTAGCGATATTGTTAGTTTTATTTATAATTTAAAATTCAGATGGCTTTCATTTTTGGTGGAGAAGTGTCAGAACTGTCAAAAATATTTCATAAATATTATTTGTGCGTATTTCTTTGGTAAATTTTGTATATAACATAATATGTCATATTATGTTATATATAAAACTTTTAAAATCACCAAAGGAATACCACAAATAATAATTATGAAATATTTTTGACAGTTCTGATATTTTTGGTAGTTATGTTATATTTTATGTATTGAAAAATCATATATATATATATATATATATATATATATATAACCTACCAACTTTTTAGCGTCCATACATTTAAAAATTACATACAATTCAGCGTCCACCGGCATTTAGCATCCGTATACGGACGCTGAACGGTAATTCCGTGTTAATTTGGATCCTAACAATATTAACGGCATGTGCGCTAGATGTTTGCAATCTTTTAATTATTACAGAATTTTGCATTAAAAAATCTATAGACTGTGTTTCTATCTTTAGTAGTTATTATTATATAAACGGATGCTGAAATGTCGTACTTTGGGTCAGATTTATACAGAAGTAGTTCAAACAATTTTCATCGGTAGCGCTGCAGTCGTATACGTATATTGATATACTTATGCATTATAAGATAGTTCGGCGTCCTTCAATTTGACAACGCCGCCAAAGCCAACTTTGTGGGTAAATTAAAACTTACCGCTGCTTGCTATCATCATTTGGTAATTTTTTCGTCTAGAGTAACTACGAGTTACTAACTAGATATGGTAAAATAATACGGGGATACCACTAGTAGTAAAAATACCACCAGTAATAAATTTAACTAAGGTTAATTAAAACAATATTTATTATAAAATTTTGGATGCAAAATAAAAAACTACAATTTATGAAATATAATAACTAAACCACTAAAACCAATGTTAGACTGGAATGTGAGTCTATACCTATATAAGTCTAGTTAGGTACCTTAATCCATTTTTTTTTGTATGTGTTTTGAATAAAAACTTTTATTTTCATCCACAGCTTGTTACTTAAAAGATCTGAATATTTGCCCCTTAATTCTTCGCATTCTGATCTTTTAGGTGGCCTTTTTTGTTTGATATGACTTTTGAAGAACTCTAAAACAACTTGTTTCTGTTGGGATGTTCACGGAACCAGTTGTCGTTTTAGTACAAATTTGGTTGTTTCAGGATTTTTTGTTAATGGTGAAGATATCTGGTGGAAGACTGATCCCATTAGTGGCAACAGTTCCTCTTTCAACACTTGATTGATATTTGTTTTAACTTCCAGGGAGTTTGACTGAAAAGTTTTAATATAAATTACCTGTCATAATGCAGATATTTTTGAACACGCTGATATATTAGTTATTTGTATAAGAATATACTCTCTAAAAATGAATTAGTCAAAAATGACTAATTTAATAGTTATTAGTGGCTGCTTTTTCACTTGTACTATGGTTAACCATGGAACACCATGGTATCACAAAATTTAACAGACAATTCTTATGTCAAATTGAATCCGAAAATACTGATATTTGAGCAGTTTTTGAGATATAGTCAATTCCATATTAAATGGAAAATTGACTATATCTTCTGTTTTACTTTTTTAAATTTTGACGACATTTTTGGATTCAGGGGACAGACAATTTTACATAAAAATTGGCTGTTAAATTTTGGGA